CAGTCGACTAGGTATCTAAAGCCAAGAATCCCCGTGTAGAAAATCCTCCAATGCAGTCTATGCATTCCAACATCAACGAAAATCGGCGTTTTTAACACTTGGATCTTGGTTTCATAGATCTAACAATTGAAAATGCAGAGTATTCGATACCCGGAGCCCGATACGAAATTATTTCTCCAATTGGAATGGAGTCCTGTTCTGAGGTGCAAAATTCCTTTGGATGCTTGTGCTTATTGGAATAGAAGCTGTGGTAGGCTGCAGCGCTCGTTATAATTGCTTTGTGCTGTTAGTTTTGGGTAATTTAATGCTGGGTTTATGGAAATGTGAAGTTGGTGTGAGGTGGTTGTCACTGGCCAAGAAGGTCATTTACAACGTTTTCTGACCGACTATTGAGAAGAGGCATGCAAACCTTACTGAGTCATGATCATCAAAATATAGGAGGACCCAGGTCAAGATTGCTGGGTTCAACTTAAAATGGGCAGTGGACCTGAAATTATCATCCAACCTCTGGAGTCTACAAACATATGGTTACGTTAAGGGTTTCGTTTGAAGACCATTTTATGTTTGTTTTTGTTGCTACAAATGAGGGAATTATATGGGACAAGGATGAACGAGAATACATAGAAAAATGGTAATGAGAGTGATGTAGAAGAAATGTATATGGATTAGTACATTCTCCTTCATTTTTCACTCGTTTCCCACCGCCATCCTTCCACCCTTCTTTATTCCTCATTTCAAGCATGTATTTTCTTTTTATCTCTAAGAAAAAAGAATAAAAAAATAAAAATAAAAGCTAAATGATTATAAAATGAGCCCTAAGGCGGGATTTACAAATTTGTTTTTCTCAGCATTAAATTTGAAACTTAAACAAAAGTTAAAACCATAATTTGTTTTCTTCTTTTAGACTAGTAGAATTGTAGAAACGATATTCTACACTAATGGGAGGGAGGGGATTTGAAATCAAGACTAGTGAGTTGAAGAGAAATACCCAAACCATCAAGACAATCCACCTGTAGCCAAGGTTCTAAAAGACGTTAAACACTAGTCGGACGGTGAACTGGGGCCTAGGCAGACTAGGCGGATTTAAGTAAATTTATTATACATTGTGTAAATAAATGCCCATTTATACTTAAAAAAACACATAATTGTCTGTGATATATCAATTGAATAATAAAATGACATATAGATTATAAAGTGTTATAACATATTGAAAACATGGGGAACAAGCATGTAATGAGTGTTCATCCAAGTATTTAAAAAGTCTCTTACATTTTACTGACAAAATAAAATGCAAAATGAAAGTTATCAATTTTCTGTTTAAGTGAGAGTCGCAACCTAGACGGGTGCCTAGGGGGGTTTAGGTGGATGTCTAAGCAAATCTAGGTTTACTTTCTTAATATTCAAACACTTAGGGATTAATCGGGATGGTGACCAACTGCCTAGCCGCTAGAACGGTGCCAATAGCATATGCCAATATTCATGTGTTAGTTCATAAACAATGGATATTAATTGCAAATAGAAAGGACATTATTCAATATTACAAAAAAGTTGGAATTCTCAGATGTGAGATTCACATTCTCAACAAACATATCCTTGAACCGACATGATTTTGACCATAAAAATAATTTGATTATACATAGCAAAAGAACATCCGAATCTGAAAGCATCATGATGGAACAAATTGACCACAAGAAAAGATGGATGGAAAATGATTCAATAGCAATGATAATTTTCTATGTTTTCTTATGCTTATGATTTCATTGGCAAGGTAAGCATGCGCGCCATGCGTTGCGTGGGGCTGCCTCATATGCCACTGTTTGATACATATGATTGATTTGGTTTGGTTTGATTTTGACTAATTGAAGAAAATCAACTTGAATTGGTTCACTTTGGTTTTAGCTTGGGTTTATTCAAGCCTCTCGTTTTAAATTAGGTTGGTTTTATTCCGGCCTCTCATTTTTAAATTGTGCAAAACAAGTCAACAAAGAAAGTATATACTGTTAACTTATTCCGTTATTATCAACCTAATATAGACTAATATTAGTGTTAAGTAGTTTAATTTTGCTTTCCTTTTCTTTTTGACTTCTGCATAAGCTACAAGATCGTTTTCCGACTTTACCCAAAGTGCCAACATCGTTGATTATGTGAATGATGATACATTGTGATGGTCAACCCTTAAAACAAAATTTTATTAATTTACTCTCACATGCATCATGTTCTCAGGTTTTTAGCGATTTTTTTTAATGTTTTGTCCAACGAGTCCGGCACCACCCACATCCACATGGTAAACTTAAACCAAAAAATGGATATTATTATTGGCAGCCTAAAACATGGTACAGTGTATGTATATATGCCCATTGGAAAAATTGGATGCATGAGCTAGCCATGCATGCATCCCCTTCCATTTGGCGCCAATCCAATGAAAGGCAGCTGGTTCATGGCTTCATGCATTGAGATTGCAGGTTTAAGTGATTCGTAAATCCTAGTCATAATTCCACACACGTGGATGATCTTAGTTGCTGGAGAAATAACGGAAAATTGAGGAAAGGAAGTAGTGGGAGAGATATATAAGAGCACCTAGTCACATTCAAAGTTCTGTGTTTGATTTGTCCTTCTTTGATATTTTTTATAGCAATAAACAAAAAATGTTGAAGAAAGTTGAGGTTATTAACAATATGAGAAAGAACCTACCGTCATAAGCTGTTGCAAGATTTTGCTTTTCACATCCTAATATATTTTGACAAAATGCAATGTTGTAACTTATATATATTTTAGTGGGGGGCTGAATCATGACCAGAGTGTTTGGTGCGTAGCAATATCATGAAGCATGAATGTTGTTAGATTTTGGAATTAGGTCTGACATTGTAAGTGGGGGGCAATTGGCCCCTAAGAGTTTTACAAGTTTATTAAATTATTAAATTAAAATTTGACAAACTGTTGTAGTTTAATTAGTTGCTTAAGAATATTAATCCTTGCATCCGAAATTTCTTGTTCAAATCTCCGTTTTTGTAGTATAAATAAATTTCAGCATAGACCACTCTAGCGTACATCAAAAAAATTATTCTGGGATAATTAAATTTATTTACGTTTGAAGTCATATATAACATGAAAGCATCATTAATTATTGCTGCCGATTCACGTGAATTCGAAACCGCCCCAAAGTCCAAATTCAACACTTCCCAGCTAAAGCGAGAGAGAGGAGAAATCCACTAGGGCTCCACTACTATTCCTTTTCTTGGTTAGCAAGCTTCTTATTGTACTATTCTCATAACTTGCCCATCCGTTCATCTCGGAAACATCTCGCTCTCTTATCACTTGGTTACTAAGAATTCATTGTTTAATGACTAAAAATTCATTGTCACCTGATGATCAACGAATTTATGGTCACTCACACTCATATTCGATATCAAGGTTTTGAGATTAAAATACTAAAAACACATATTTATTCTCTGTTTTTGATATTAAATCTAATGGTAAGTGATCAAGCGTTTCTTAGTGATCAAGAACAGATTTATGTGCAATTGAAAATGTCATTTTGTATATTAATGCATCATCTAATGAAAATTAGGACTATCATGCATGCACCTTAGCTTGTTATGCAATATAAAGGGTGTATACAAATTTAAAATATACTAAAACTAAAAATCAATTGATTTGCTATTTATAAATACAGTTGAGTGACGATTTTCCCCCGCTTAGTTAATGTTATTTCATGTCTGACCCTAGGTCATCACCTTCCACCTAAATAACAATAATTCTGAAAAATATATGTACATTGAATAAATTTATACATGAATGTAGTAACTTTTAAATGTACTTGTTTATTAATGCTTGATTTAAATAGTGAAATTTATATATTAGTAACATGTAGTGATATAACAACATCAAATTCATATGAATTAGGCCACTTAGTTTTGCGGTAGTACTCCTCTTTACCTGCAAGTAAGAGATTTTAGGTTCGATTATCGCTAAAAGCGAATTTGAACCACATTATTGCTAGCCTATTGTGGGGTTTAGCTAACTCACAACCCTTTTAATGTAGATGAAAATTCACATAAATTAGGCTTAGTTCAACGTAAGGATTGATTATTGGTCTCTCATGCTTACACTAGGAATAAGTAAAAAACCAATCAAACTTAACCCGTGGAGCCCACCCAATCCTTACTGCCTAAGAGTAATTTGGATGGGTTAGATTGGCCAACTAATTGAAGTCTAATACGACCAATCCACCGACGTCCATCCCTAATTATCTTGTCCAAGAAGAAAGGCAACCAAAAAAACGAAGCAGTTTTGACTTTGGAGGGCGTTTCTGTTTCGGACGACCGCGGAACAGCGCCCACCCGGATCAAAACGTCCACTTCGTCTTTTGTCTTTCGGATAGCGTAAATCAAGAGACTTCGCAATCATTTCCGTCGCTTGCCCTAACAAACGGCACCGCAAAATCGTAATTAACTATTGAATTAACCGCTAAACCAACAACCCTCCCATCGCACGCCACGTGTTCCGTTCACCCACAGGCTGGACCACTCCACTTGTTTTTGCTCCAACAGAAGCTAACAAGTAACAACTATTTAATACGAAGCTTAATCCGTAATTAATTAATTAGTTAAATAATTAATTAATTAGTTAAATAACCGATTTCATTTAAAATATTTATTTATTTTTTTCATTATGTTAAGAGAGAGAGGAGGGAAGTTACTTAAAAAGAAAACTTTTGTTTATAAGTAAGGTTTACATGAAATGAGTTATTACTAGTAGCATTTTGATCTGATAATGTGTTGATATATGAAGAAAAATTTACCCGTATAATATATTTTTGAACGAAATGATGTTATTTACATTAAAATGATGCACGAACTGGATTAAACTTCATAATAAACTAATAAAAATATGATTCGAATTTGAGAAAATCGAATCTGAGGCTTCGTACAAGTTAAAATGAGTACCAGTACTAACTTGCTCCAATTAATAAATTTGAGTTGTTGAATACAAATTATAAAATAAAATAAAAGCGAACGCATCGTCGTTTTCCCTTTTATCGCTTTGTCTATGGCTTCCTATCCACCTCTCTTCTTCTTCTCAATTGCCGGAGACAAATCCCAATTCCCAGAAATTCAAATTTAAAATTCCGAATCCTTTCAAAAACAAGAAAAATAATTTCTTTTTGCTTATATATTCTTGAGAATTTCGGAAAGTCTCGCGGGTTTTTGAAAATTTTGATCCGGAAATCCGATACCCAAACGCGATGCTCTGACCTCCGGAATCGGGAATTGAAATCCCCAGGCTCGGTCTGTTTAGGGAGGAATCTCCGATTACCAAATGGGTCTCTGCACCTCCAAACCCTCCCTAAACTCGCACACTTTCTCGCCGCAATCCGATTCCCCACCAACCAAGGAGAGCTCCGTTCCGCCGCCGAACGCCGCCGGAAATGGAAAAAACCGTAGAGATGAGAAGGCTGAGGAGGAGAACGTCAAGAAGTCTCCGTTTTTCCCATTCTACAGCCCCAGCCCGGCACACTACTTCTTCTCCAAGAAGTCTCCGGCGAGATCTCCGGCGAATGTGAGCTCGAACTCGACCCCGAAGCGGTTCTTCAAGAGGCCTTTCCCGCCGCCGTCCCCGGCGAAACATATAAGGGCGGTTTTGGCTAGGAGGCACGGGTCTGTGAAGCCAAACGAGGCGGCGATACCGGAGGGCGGCGAGGCGGAGGGCGTCAACGGCCTGGATAAGAGCTTCGGATTCTCCAAGCATTTTGGGAACAAGTATGAGATGGGAGAAGAGGTTGGGCGAGGGCATTTTGGGTACACTTGCAAAGCTACGTTCAAGAAGGGCGAGCTCAAGGGCCAACAGGCCGCTGTTAAAGTCATCCCCAAAGCCAAGGTTTGCAATTTCTTAGTTTGAATGGATTTACTGACCAATTGAGCTGTGAATTTTAGTGGGTTGTATGGAATTTGATGATCAGTGGCATTTGTGATCGATACGGGCCCTTCATACTTTACGTTGTCATTATTTGAATTGGATCTGTAGGCAGACACTTGAATGAAAGGAAGCAAAGAAGCGATTCGGTTGCGTAATTGTTATGCTTTCTAGACAAGAGAGATGCATATTGATTTGCAAGAATAATCTTTTGTTGATGAGTAGGTTGACATTTAGTCCTTCCTACTTTCGATTGCGGTCTAACTATGAATTGGTGAAATGATTTAGTTTGTCTCTGGATTGCTAGTTTTACCTTCTTCTGGAAGCAACTTATGTTGCTTTGGACTTTGGCAGTTGGGTTTATTCTAGTACCTTTCTATGCTTTGTTTTATGGGTTTTGTATTTTTGGATTGTATTCTCATCGTATTTGCTGATTCTGTTTTTTGTTTTTGTTGGTAGATGACTACTGCCATTGCCATTGAGGATGTGAGAAGGGAAGTGAAGATATTGAGAGCTTTAAGTGGACATGACAATCTAGTGAAATTTTATGATGCGTATGAAGACCAGGAAAATGTCTACATTGTAATGGAGTAAGTCCTGATCCCTGCATTTTGCTTGTACATGTTCTTCTGTAAGATTTTCTTAACTTCTTTCTTACGGACTTCTTTTGTTCAATTTTCGTGTTTTTTTAGATTATGTGAAGGAGGGGAGCTCCTGGATAGGATACTTGCCAGGTATTTCTTTTGGTGCCTGTTAGATTTCAGCACGAGTATCTTGAATGTGTTATGATTTGGTTGTTCTTGATGGACTGGGAATTAGTTCGACAACAACTGCTGCCATATTAAGTATATTCTTATTCCTTTCTGCAGGGGTGGGAAATACACAGAAGATGATGCAAGGACCGTTATGACACAGATATTAAATGTGGTTGCGTTTTGCCACCTCCAAGGTGTGGTGCATCGGGATCTTAAACCTGAGGTAGGATATATGTTGTCCTCAGGATTGAATTAAGGTTTATGTGATGCATCACTAACGAAAGGTCACTAATATGTGGTAGATGTTTACATTTAAAAGGGAGAAGATATCATTTCATGCAGTTGCCTCCCTTTTGTTCATTTTATCTAGATTGCTAGCTCTAGTAAAAAGCATAACTGCATTTTTTGGGTCAAGCATTTGGGTGTTGTAACTTTGCTATCTTTTCATTTATGTATACTTATCTAAGTACTTAATTTCTGGATCAGAATTTTCTGTTTACGTCAAAGGATGAAGATTCACGGTTGAAGGCTATAGACTTTGGATTGTCAGATTTTGTCAAACCGGGTTGGTTGACAGTTCTTCAACATAAACATAATCTGTACTGTACTACTTGCTTTTTTATAGCTCTAAAACTTTGTCCAATAGTTTCATATTGTTGAATAACATTGCAGACGAGAGGCTTAATGACATTGTTGGTAGTGCGTACTATGTAGCCCCTGAAGTTCTACATAGGTCTTACGCTACAGAGGCTGATGTCTGGAGTGTAGGCGTGATTGCATACATTCTTTTGTGTGGAAGCCGTCCATTTTGGGCTCGAACTGAGTCTGGCATTTTTCGGGCTGTTCTAAAAGCTGATCCAAGTTTTGACGAACTACCTTGGCCATCTCTGTCCACAGAGGCAAGAGATTTTGTCAAGCGCCTGTTGAATAAAGATCCACGGAAAAGAATGACTGCTGCTCAAGCCCTATGTAAGTGCCTTATTCACTCTGAAAATTGCTTGATCATGGTTACTTCTCCAAATTTTCACTCACTACTTTCTCTTGCAGGTCATCCATGGCTTAAAAATTCTAATGATATTAAAGTTCCTCTGGATATATTAATATTCAAACTCATGAAGGTCTATATGCGTTCATCACCTCTCCGAAAAGCTGCTTTAAGGGTGCGTTTATGGTGCCATTTTCAATTGAGAATACTAATATTGTTCTGGTGACTAGCAGAGGCTATTATTCCTTCACATTTTTTCTTGCCACCCTTTTTCTCTGCATTGGTTGCTTGTTTATTTTTGTATTTCCTCTTTGTTTACTAATTTCTAGTAGCTTATTTGGTTCCCTCAACATTGGCATTTTGGCAGGCTCTTTCCAAGACATTGACTGTGGATGAGCTTTCTTATTTGAAGGAGCAGTTTGCGCTGTTGGAACCAAACAAAAATGGCACAATAAGCTTAGAAAATATTAAAACGGTGGGTTTCCTTCAAAATTATTTACTCTTTAAACAACCTATGGTTAGTCATGTTCCTGAACTTTTTAATGTTGTCAGGCATTGATGAAAAATGCAACTGATGCAATGAAGGAGGCGCGAATTGCTGATTTTCTAGCATCGGTAGGTGCCTCGACGCTTGTAATCGATGTGGAAGGTTATTGCATTTGGTACATTCTTAATTCTTATTAGAATGTTATATTTCTTCTCCTTGGCAGCTTAATGCGTTGCAATACAGAAGGATGGATTTTGAGGAATTTTGTGCAGCTGCACTCAGTGTGCACCAACTTGAGGCTGTTGATCGGTGGGAGCAACATGCTCGTTGGGCCTACGAAATTTTTGAGAAGGATGGCAACAGGGCTATTGTTATTGAGGAACTGGCTTCGGTATGTGTGGATGCATGATAATTGTGCCTTTCTTCAATCTTTAGTTGACTGATTGTTCCTACCATCCAATTGCTTTCTGTATCCACTGATTCACTTCTCCCCTTCATAGTAGTGGTTACGAGCTTGAAAAAAACATTAAATTCTTCGTTTTAGTATAAAATTTTCTGTCCACTGATATGCATATACTGATACGGGGCATTATGTGCATGTGTTTCAGGAACTTGGCCTCAGCCCTTCCGTCCCAGTTCATGCGGTTCTTCATGATTGGATTAGGCACACTGATGGAAAGCTAAGTTTCCTTGGATTTGTCAAATTGTTGCATGGAGTTTCTAACCGAGCTGTACCAAAAGCTCAATAAAAGTTTTGATAAGATCCATCAAGTATAGATTTGCCGGTGCTGTCTTGACTCTTGACCGATAAAACAATGGTCTTGGAGGTGGTTGAGAAATTTTCTGGATGCAAATACTCTATATTTTGCAGCTGCAATATATAACCGAAGCGAATCATCATTTGATGAAGCTGCGGCATTGTGTGTACACTTGGGACTGGAGAGATATGACACCTTTGCGTTCGCTAGATGAAGCATTCAGTCGTGTTTTTCCACTGTAAATCTGTAGTATTAGTATAGTGTGTTCAGTTGCAGATTAGAATAGTTCTCAACTTGTTTACTAAAACGATCACTCTTCGATGTTTCTGACATTAGACTGGCGGGACATGCCCTCAATTATGTTGTAGCATCTCTCCTCTTAATACTACTATTTAATGAGCATCATATCTTTTTGTTTAACTTGCCAATTTCTTTTTCAATTTGACATAATGAGCTCGTTTAGAATTGCTTCTTTAAAAAGCATTGATGTTCAAAACACTTGTAGTAAAAGTGCTTCTATTAGAAGCATATTGAGGTTTTTTAATAAAAAAATTTCAGGTGCTTTCGGAACAACGCTTGAAGTGGTTCGTGACAGAAGCATACAATACATGCCTGACCCTTTAAAAATCACTTGTAACTTCTTTTTATTATCAAACATGTGCAAAAATGCTTTGGGTGATTTGAAAGCGTTTTTAGATATTTTAAAAGTACTTTCAAATAAGTTTAGAATCAATGAGATGTACTAAGCGGTGACAATTTTCTATGCATGAGTGCGTGATCGTATGTTTTTATTTTTTTTAATTTTATGTATGGTAGTGCAAGATTCGCTTGCATCAACTGACACATCTCGACCCGGATATTTTGGTGGACACCGGAGTCAAGACATGCTGCCCGACACATGTAAGGTGATGGAGCCATATTATGAAATAGTTAAGTGAAAATGTGAACAAATTAAAACCGAAACTAGAAATATTTAAACTAAGGGTGAGAATGTGAGGTATGGGATATACCCATATTATAAAGTATGTAATTGTTAGACAATAGCTAATAGTGCAGTAAAAGTAAGAATATTCCCATCCTAGGTAGGATGGATATTACACAGCTACTAGAATTAAATTGGGTAAAGTACAAAAAGCTACCTCAACTATTGGAGTCACGGCAGTTTCATAGCTTATCTTTTAAAATTGACAATGTCATACCTCATCTTACGAATTTGTGACAATGTCATACTTCCGTCAATTTTTCTGTTAAGTGCTGACGTGGCAAGAGATTGGGACCACTTTCTATTAAAAAATTAATAAAATATTATTAAAAACTAAAAAAAATATTTAAATAATAAATAAAAGTAAAAAAAAAAAAAAAAAAACATTAGTCGTGTTTCTTCCCTCCCCCTTCTCTCTTCCTATCTTCATCTTCTTCTGCTTAATCTTTAACACAACAAAAAAAAAAAAAAAAAAAAAAAATTTGAAAACCCAACCCCACCCACCCCTAGAAGAAGGAGGAAGAAGAGGAGGAAAAAAAAAAAATTGAAAACCCAACCCACCCGTCCCCCTCCCCTAGGAGAAGGAGGAGAAGAGGAGGAGGAAAAAAAAAAAAAAAAAAAATTTGAAACCCACCCCCCTCCTCTCCCGCCGCCCCCCCCCCCCCCCCCCCCAGGAAAAGGGAGAAGCCGAAGAAGAGGAGGAAGAAGAGGAGGAGGAAAAAAAAGAAAAAAAAAATTGAAAACCAACCCCCTCCCCCCCCCAGGAGAAGGAGGAGGAACCGAAGAAGAGAAGGAGGAAGAAGAGGAGGAGGATAAAAAAAAAAAAAAAAGAAATTGAAACCTCCCCCCCCCCAACAAAAGGAGAAGGAGGAAGAAGAGGAGGAGGAAAAACAAAAAAAAAAAAAAAAAAAAAAAACACCAGAAGAAGGAAGAAGAAGGGAGGAGGAGAAGGAGAAGAAGAAGGAGGAGAGGAGAAAGGGGATGCCGCACCCTTAGAATTATTAAAAATATATTTAATTATTTTTTAATCTAGCTGGATTAGTGAGTGGTCCCTGTCTTTTGCCACGTCAGCACTTAACAGAAAAATTGACAGAGGTATGACATTGTCACAAATTCATAAGATGCGGTATAACATTGTCACAAATTTGTAAGATGCGGTATAACATTGTCAATTTTAAAAGATGAGGTATGAAATTGTCGTGACCCCAATAGTTGAGGTAGTTTTTTATACTTTACCCAATTAAATTCCTACATTTACTGGAATGGATGTCAGAACCACCAAAGATATTTTGCTCGCCATAGAAGTCCAACTATTAAGTCCTGGAGGTGTGCAAAACAGAAAGTGTGAGTGGGAAAGAATAAGTTTTTTTATTTTTTATTTTTAAATTTTATTATTTGAAGGTGATGGGGGAGGGTACAATAATTAAGGGGAGCAGGTAGTTTCGAACCCATACACAGGTAAAAATCCAACATTTAATCTACTAGAATATTAGACCATATGTAAATAAGGATTTAATAAAATCTTTGTTTTTCTCAACATAATATCCCCTCGTTGTGAACCCATATATATAGTTTCCAAATCATACTATGTTTAAGTATGAAAATCAAATACGGTTTAAAACAATTATTTCCAATTATATGGTAAACCACAATATATCAGCAATAAAATATAACATGCTTTGCTCATATCATATTATGTAATAGTATGACACTTAATTACCGTAGAATCCTAATATTCAAATGTACGATAAACACAACATCTCAACTCTACAAAATAGTATGCTTATCATAATTATGCAAACAAACAAGCCCATGCAGAAAGTAACTATATGGAATAGGCTGAGTGTAAGAGCATTTCCAATGAGACCACCATCTTTGAGGACTCATTTAGAGACTTAAAAAGAATTTTTATGTTCTTAAAAGAATATTATCTCAAATGAGAGAGCCATTATAGTAAAATTCCTAAATATAAGAATTACAATATTAAAAAATTATTGTTCATTTCATTGGAGTATTCTAGGCGTTGATAAAAACCAACGACCTGTATTTATCGTTGGGAAGTTGAAGTTGCAAAAAAACCCGAAAGAGAATCAGCATGCCCGCATAGCATGGGTGGGTTCAAAAAGCCAGGAAAAAAACAAAAGGTGCAGTATTCCCACGTGAGTGGGTTTATTTTCCACTCAAAATCAACATGGGACCACTCTTAGAATCTCTATATACGGTCTTTATATTTGAAGATTTATTTGAGGTATTCATCTTCCTACATATTAAGATACTTTAAGGATTTCTATTCCGATTTCATTGGAAGTCTTTTGTTTTTATATTTAGAGACTCTATTTAAGTTTCCGTTGGAGATGCTCTAATATCTACGTTCAAGTTCCTATACACATAAAGCTGGCTAAGCGCATCATGTACAAGTCCTAGTTGCCTATTGCAAACGTAGTACAGGTTGACACCTACAATGAATCCATATTGAGCGTAACAGTGCAATGTGAACCTACATGTGAAGTTGGTCTTGATTCGGACGAGTACTATAATTACCGGGTGTAAGCATGCATGATAAGCAGATAAAAATATGTATATCATGCCATCATAATTTCATAAATCTTAACATCCTTAAATAATAAGGAAAACTAATAAAAAGGGCTTGAAAATTTTGAGTTTTAATGATAAGGACAAAATAAAGGGTAAAGTGAATAGTACCAGGATTGACTTTTTGTGTAAAAATGTAGTTTTCGTTAAAGTAAAAAGTACCGCGAATTTTTCGTTAAAACTTCTGTAATAATACTTATAGTCATAAAGTGGAAGCATGACATGATGTAAAAGCACACTTTATCCAAACAGTTATGAAAATACACACACACACACAAGAAACTGTTAAGGGATGGGATCCTCATTTTTCAAAAAAAAAAAGGGATATCCTCTTAACCGTTAGATTTGGCTTTATTGAAATCCTGTAGTTGAGATTTTGTGGCCTGTGATTTAATCTCAGCCACAGAATTTCATTAAAGTCAAATCTAATGGTCAAGAGAGTGTCCTCATTTTTTTTTTGAAAAATAAGGATCCCTTCCCTTAAAGGGCCTGTGTGTATATATATATATATATACCACTTATCCGGGTTCTTTTAATTTGAAAGCTTTGTCATGTGATGCTCGGTCATCAATTCTTTCGGTGGTGTAATTCAAGCATTTGGTTTCAAACAGGTTTGACAAAGTGACAAGGCATGGAATGGTTCTAGGGAAGAAAACTGTTGCTGGCAAAGAAAGCTATAGTGCTGACAAACAACAACCTACATTTACGGTGAGGCTTGAAGTTTTAGGTTGTCTTCTGGTCGTAATTAAAGTCGATTTTGAGTATACACGTTCGAAGTTGGCAATATTCTAGGTTCATGCATAAAAGTTAAGAGAACGGTTGTCAGTGAGAAGTGATAATTTGCTTTCAAATAACCCTGTCATATATCGTAGTGTACTGCGTAGCTAGTTCTGACTCTTTTAACCGATCCATGTTCCTGATGTGCAAGGTGGAAGTGCTATGGATCAGGGGAATAAAGAAGCTGTGTCCACTATTTCCTTTGCTTGTGAAGGGTCGTAACCTCTACAAATTGAGAACGTTTAGACAGGTAGCTGTAATATGATGTCTTATTTATTCATTTAGCATTAACTGGTCTGCGGTATTAAGGTATTGGTTGGTTGCATGTTTTCTTGTCCACCGTTTAGAGTTGGAGTGAAGAAGCTGAAAGATCACAAGTGCTTGCTGAGAAGCACAGACGAGGTGAAGCAGCAAGGCGTGTTAGAGCAATGAAAAAATCAAGGAAATTGACTGAAAATAGAGGTATTTAGGAAGAATGGAAGCAGTTTTCTTGCGTGTTACTTCTTTTACATCCTCAATCATACTCCTGCTCCAGCTGTGAAGGATTGTTTATGTATTTCGTTGTTTTAGATGGAGATTCTTACACCATGGTTATGTTATATGATCAGGTGTGAAGTGTACAGAAAAAATCACATTCTACCAGACCAAACCAAATTAGAAAGAACAATGAATCAGAAAAGGGAAAGCATTTTGATAGACTCCAAGGGACATCCCGATCCCGTGGATCTGCCAAGCATAATAGTTTATCTCAACATCAAGCAGGCCTGCCATCAAAGCAGATGACAAGTAAAGCCTCCCTACGTTTTAGAAGGCATCAGAAATCAGCTCGCCCAAATATTGATAGAGATCCAGCTCTTCATTCTCAGGCTGTCCTTCCATTTCCTCACCAATCTCTTCTAGAATATCAACACAGGAGCGCACCTTTCCAGTCTCTCGGTCATGTCATGGGCTCCATTTCAACCATGTTGAGATATCCTGTGACAACTCATTTTGATGCATTTATTGAACCTGCCTCACAATTTCATAGGTTTTATAACAGCAATTATAGATTCCATGGTTACATATACAATCTCGAGGATTGGAATCACTTATCTGGAGTGAATGTTGGTAGGCCATTTCGTCTGTATACTTCCGGAGCTGAGAATAGGGGCAATGGAGGTATAGAGTTTGCTCTATTCTACAGTAGGATGTTATTACTGAAGATCTGTATGCTGCCTTAATTGTTCTCGCTGTGTTACTAATACCAGAGGACAGGGCACAGATGACATGCACCTACTACATACTCAACTGATGGAATTAGTTTCAACTCGCAACGTTTCATTTAGTATCTCATTTTCCTTTGATGATGATCTGTTCATAATCACTCTGCTAGTTGAAACTGCAGCCGCATCCTTTTGTGGATATAATAATTAAGTGTCACTGCTTATACATGTCAGGAATGTTTCTCAAACTTCAATCTATAATAGTTTTCATATAACTATTAGACTGTTTTTCATTGATGTATCATGTGTGTCGTGAATGTATGTACCTATCCGCGCTCAGTTTTATACTTGAACCAAAAGTACTGCCTTTGCCACCACGCTCAAAAAATCCAAAACCTTTTCTTGTTAAACGTTTTCAGAAAAAAGAAACGGAACTCTTTGTTCTCCTTTTCTTATCAGTTTCAAATGATATCTTGTCAGTGCATGCCGCTTGTATTCCATGTACTTGAGTAAGGTATTATGTTTCCTTCATGCTGTGCGTTCCTTAAAATCCACATTCTAATGTTTGTAGAGCGAACCATGGCATGATAATATCTGGGATTGCTGTGTGGGCGTAAGGAGATAAATTTAACGTTTGTTTCCTTAGAAGTTGATATAGCATTACGTTTTTCTTCATTCCCAAAGTCTCGAACCAACTGCTTCGTGGTTTTGAACAAAACTCTTCTTAATTATAGTTGTGAGAGTCACTATTGCTAGATTGAAAATCTTCTTTACAATTGTGGTTGGTTGGTTGGTTATTATTTTAACTGTTGCTAGATGAGTGTTCATGAAGCATGATGTTTATCTTTCGCTAAATATGAATTAACGGAAGACGACGGTGAGAGGATAGGAGGGTGTTGACTAACAAGGCATGTCTGGTGTGCTGCTGCCATGAGTCACGATAGTGCTCAATTGACGGGCTTGAAACTGAAGATAGTTGAATATTATAGTGCTCAATGAACAAGACTACAAAATAATAGTAATATTATTAAACAATCAAGAATGCTGAAACGGCTACAAAATTCATAGAAAGTTACATCATGACTAACTTATTATTGACTAAATAACAAGCATGCTATTTATAATAAACCAACCCCAATCCTACGAAACTGAAACCCTAATGCTAATGGGCTAAGCTCAGAAAACCAAACATTAAAGTAAACTTAAATACTAATATTTTCTAACCCTGGTCGCGCCACGTCCAATTAGCTTTAATTTCTCACGAGTCCTGCTAAATGATTGCTATTCTAAGAAATATATCCTACATTAATGTATTGTGTACTCTACATGCATCAATGGTCACAAATCATGAATGAAAATGTATTGCAGGCAGACGTGCATCAACGATCATGAATCAAACTCCTCGTAACACAACTCTCGTTCACTTATATATTAGCGACTGCATCAATGGAAGTGTGGCAGTTCAACGTGTATGGCCAATCATGATTGTTGATGTGTTGGTAGCTTCACATGCATCAATAGTTAGAAATCAATACTTTTTGTACTCTCTCTCTTTGAGAAAGATTGACATGAAATGAATTCACTGCTATTGTAGCTATCATTCGATAACAATAATATGTGTAAGTTTTTCAATACATAACATTCTATTATTGAATTAAAACATTACGTAACAGTAAATCAGTTTATATAAATTGCTTTCCTGAATCATCCATTAGTCTTTCGTCCGAAGATGAGGCCCATCCAGACGAAGATGAGACCCCATATCATTGCTGGGTTCACTATAGTTTAGTACCCGATCTCTTGCAAAATGCCGCACCCACTTCAACCATCTTCTCCTATGTAATGCCGCCACCACCACCCACCACAACCGACTCACATCGACCGTTTAGTCCGTGAAATGTTAGGCCAATTTTAACTACTCAGACGCGGTAAACCAAACCCGTCCCCACCTCTAGCATTTATTTTACCTCATCAGATTCGGTGGTACATTACAAAATACTGATTCAAACCACCGTTTGCTTCCTATTTCTTTTCGTTTCTAAAGCATCCAAGAAACTTTAGGAAAAGCAAAACCAAGAATTTGTGTCCCTAGTTGGGACACGACGTCCCAATATTGTGCGTGCAACCAGGTCCGCAGCCTAGTAGGCCCCCCGACCTTTTCCAATTCCGGGCCTTTTCAACTACATCATTCATATGAATCGTATCCTTGCCACGCATACAAAATGCATAATTTTGCATCTAGTCGACAACGGATCCACCCAATATTTCAATCGGAATCCATCATTCAATTTGTACCAAGAAAGAAAACCGTCACTTCATTAGCATCATATGGTGGGAAAAGGATCCTCACCGGATTCTTTTCCTGAAGATCATAAGAATTTTGTGATCGCGATCGTTTATCGTACATCGTACGGTCAGTTTTTGTTATGTACTATTTACAATTAATTTTAAATTTTAAATTTTAAAATGATTTCTAACCTCACGATGTATGATTGATGATCCCGATCACGAATCCTTAGGATTCCCAGAATAAGGATCCGGCAATGATCATTTTCCCACATGGTGGACCTAGAATTTTAAACTCATGAATCTTAATAATAATCGTAAAAAAATGTATAGACAAAAATGACATTAAAAAGTTAAATGGTAATATATGTCATTCATAAATCGTACTCAAAACAACATTATAAGCTATAAAATCCTAATTACATCGTCCACAATGAGGTTTCATAGTTTGAAAATGTTACATGATAACTTCATGTTGGCGTTGTGGATGCAAATTTCCACCGTCTTCTCCTTTGACTAAAATGCAATTGCAAAATAATAACACCTAAAATTAAGGCAAAAAGCCTCATGCACCCACGATAAATGAGGGAGGGGGGCTTTGGCTAAAGAATCTCCGATGCCAAAGTTAGAATTCTGAAAAAAATGTGTTTAAGAGTTTGTGGGTAGCAAATGACTTCGCTTTTTAGTGGTAGAATAAGCTATTTATAGGAGAGTGGCCGACCCTATTTGGAGAATAGTGGCTGGCCATATATGATGAATTTGTGTGAATAATTGCAAGATATTATGTGAAATAATATCTTACACTTAACATGGCAATTAATCCTAAATTAAATAGGAAAATTAGGAGTTACCTTTTGAATAAGGATTTGATGAGGAGTGAAAGGAGGGATTTGAATACCATTTTGATCACTTTTGACTCTTCCTTGATTGAACCGTTATTGTTCGCTGCATGTGTGTGGGAATCTCGATGTGTCTCGAGGGTAATTTTGTCATTTTCACCCAAAAGTCCACATGTCACCTCTATAATTTTCTTGATTATTTTTGACTCCACAAATGCCCTCACACCTATTGGGCTACTCGCAGAAAATGGCAGCAAGGTGTAAAGATCTTCCCTTGCTTTAGGAAATATAAGATTGTTTCCTATTTTGATGTAGATTTCCACATTAATTGGACATTAGATCCTTTTAGGAGAGGGAAATAAATCACTTCCAAAGTCTATTTAAGTTTACCTTAAGTAGATGATTAAATCAACTTCAGCGAGCAATTTATTCTACCCTACAAGAAAGAGAAAGTTAGAGCATATTTGTTCCCCTTCCCCTAGCAATCTTTTACACTTGCCTATGCAAATGACCGTCCTTCGTTGCTGTCTTCATCTTCACGCCGCACCAAGGTAAGAAAATTTAATTTTTCCTTGTCTTTGTAATTTTTTGGAGCCTTGGGGCTTAAAATTTGGCTCGACAAGGGTCGACGATGTGTGAAAAAGTAGCTGGGAATGCCACGGTATGGCTTTTGCAGTGGGTGGTTGTTGTCGACTTAGTGTGACAGCAGCTCAGCGCGAGCCAAGGTCTGGGTGTAGTGGCGTGGGCAGCGAAGATGAGCTAGTGCTCAACTTGGATTCGGCTGGCATGGGCTAGGGACCACTTGGCTTAGGCCAAGGCTGGTGGGTTGTGAGGCGCTAATCTTTGGGCCATTGGGCTTGGGCCTGTGTGCGAGAGATAGGAGAGAAAGAGAGAGGCGCAGAGGTGTTAGCCCCTCATTTTAGATTTTGCCGCGAGGCCTTTGGGCTGAAAGAATGGCAGCACTTGGCGTGTTAGGCTGCTTGGCGTGCTGGGTCTCTAGGTGCGCTGGGCTACCTGGCGTGTTGGGCCGAGAGAGAGATGGGAGCCAGTGCGAGCTGGGCTCCCTTGACTGCTATCCTGGACTGTGGGGCTTGATGCAATTTTTTTATTTTATTTTTTATTTATTTATTTTGTGCAACCGTCTGATGATCATTCCTTGCATCTTTGTAGAATTTCTTTGAGCATGTCATCTTCAATCCACAAGAGCGTTGGTGGTGTGCGGCCGTTGTATCGTCAAGGTGGGTCTTTGAGTAAAGTGGGCTATTTCCAAAGTCTATTTAAGTCTACCTTAAGTAGATGATTAAATGAACTTTACAGAGCAATTTATTTTACCCTACAAGAGAGAGAAAGCTAGAGCATATTTGTTACCCCTTCCCTAGCAATCTTTTACACTTGCCCGTGTAAAGGACCGTCTTTCGTTGCTTTCTTCATCTTCACGCCACACCAAGGTAAGAAAATTTTAATTTTTCCTTGTCTTCGTAAATTTTTGGAGCCTTGGGGCTTAAAATTTAGCTGGGAAGGCCACAACATGGCTGCTTGTAATACCCTGAAAATTTAAAATATACAATTATGTGGGAATTTTATTTTTTTGGGAAGTAAAATGATGAAAATGTCCCTCGTTGATGAAATGTAAGTTTATGAGGACGTATTTTATCCTCATATGTGTTATCGTATTTCTTGACATATTTGGATACAGCTTAACCCTACGAGCTCATAGGCAAAAACCGTTTGCGAGTCCGGATTATAACGGTATAGTTACAGACATTTGAAGTCGTGTTACTAAACTAAAGTTATTAAATAAATTAAACTCCCACTAAGTGGGAAGGAGGACGAAGGAAGGGCTTGGTTTTTGGCCTAATCAGTTAATGGGAAAGGGGACAAAAATGAGAAATAAAGGGGGAGGAAGGAAGAAACCCCCATCTCGTCGACCCGTGCACCCACGACAACCCGATTTTGAACCAGTGAAATTCCGGAGGATTCTCAGCCATTTTTCAGACGATTTTCACCCCACCTTCACCTGCAATCTCTTCCATAACCTTTCCTCTATCATTTCAGCCCTAGATTGAGGGGTTTAGGGCCTAAATTCATGAAGGAAGACGCACGGCTTCATGGGGGT